TCGCCAATAACGAGGATGCCCACCTCCAGTATATGATCTTTCGTGTGGCCCTATTCCATAATAGGTCAGTCGTATTTACCATCGCTTGCTCTCAGATTGATGGTGTTATGATGTTTGACCAAATATCTGAGAAAGATCATTTTCATCACCCACCCGTTGGCTTCTTAATTCTTTTCATATTCTCTAACCCTTTGTATCTTAGTGGGTTTATTGTTTTATTTAGGAGTGAAATGATTAAAAATCAAAAAATTACTTGTGTGGCGATTTCATTTTTCATCATGAAAAATAGTCCACTCAAGCAAAAAAAACAAAGGATGAAACTGATAAATACTCTGTAATTTCTGTATCACTTCCGAGCTGATCCAAATTATCGATGAGCCTACGCGCAACCGCGATATAAGTCATCACGGATATCTCTTTCTCGCCACCTGTCCTGAGAAACGTTCCTCTGTAGAGTCATTTCTTTGCGTTCTTCCGTCCACTCACTTGTCAGTGTCAAGATCGATGTCAATATCAATTGCATCTTCTGGCATCCCATTTCCATAGAACACGTTTTCCTAGGACACATTTTCGATAATACAAAGCCTACTGTCAGCTTCAGATCTTTTTTATTTCTATCGGTTCTCTGTCAATATTCTTCAAAATTCAAAAATGTAACCACCACCCCATCTTGTGTCGGATTCTTTCTGATATTGTGAAATCTATCGGTCACAAGAAGTATCATCAAAGGCCAAATTAGTCAGCCTTGCTACACGCATTAATGAGCACTTGAAATATCTCACCCTACTACAGTGACTATATGAACGTAGTAGCAACATTCTCCTCAGTCAACGCAAAATAATAATTTGGACATTGTTCCGAACAGATATATGCTGTTCGTATAAGCTAAATTCGAAAACGATAGACTTGGTTACCTTGAATTAAAAACCAAAAATGTAAATATGTGTCATTCATCTGGGTCTACTATTATGAAAGCATCCCTATGGAAATGCATCCTCATCAGATAATTCAAGTTTTTTACAATGCATTAAACTCAACCTTAACCCCAGTGAAAGGTTTAGATCTCACTCACTAAATAGCAATACCGTAGTCAATAGTATGCACCTACTGATGAGATAGTCTCATAAGGATTTAATCTAGCTTTCATCACCAAATACTGACATCAGTCGTTACAAATGGTTTCGAGCGAATAAAATATTTAGTTCTTAGCGACCAATTTTCGACTTCGAATCATAATGATGACGCTATAGAATAACATAAAACTAACCCAAATTTACAGAAACTATAGCACATGAATAGCAAAATCTCAGCTGGTTAGAATGTATTTCTCAAACTATGAATTATGACCTAATCACCATACTGAAGTTCAGATATAATTCAATGAATACGTTAGGGAAAATCAACCATCATTAATTGAAAGAGCAATAACATTTACTGAAATATTATCCCAGAGTTATCTCCAGCACTGGCAATTCTGTTCAACCGTTGACCGAACAAGCGATGCGACCCAAGTCTATGGAGGGCGTAAAGTTTAGACTCTGTTTTTAAGAGTCCTGGTGAGCGCAAATTCTTGTCGCAATATCGACTTATTATTCTTCTTAGTGTCATGGGCAAACTCTCCGAATCTATAATCAACAATTATGCTTTTGAATACATCAACAGGAACAACATCCTGTGCCAGACCAATATGAATTTCGGTCCGCAGAACTCATGCTAATGTAACTATCGTTACGCACAGTTTGAGCGAGACACTAGATAGTAAATTTATCACAAGCACCATAGATATATCAAAGGCCTTTGACAAGGTGGAGCATAGTGTTTGCTTTGAAAATTCTCTGGCAGGTCTTTTCACAATTTCTACTCTATATAAATGATCTGCCTTAAAACGTCAACCGATACATAGTGTTTGTCGCTGCTGATATTAAAACAATTTATTTGGGCCCCTCCAAAATTTGGATGACCAGAACATACCAGCTCCTCTATCCTTTGACCTAAATCAGCTGATGGTGGAAGGACTGTTTTGTAATACCAGACTAGTAAAGCTTTAGCCCCACTCAGGTCACACTGAAATGTAACCTGTTGTGATGAACGGATGTTCTCTTAAGTAGGTTCATTGCGTTGAAGATCTGTTTAATCAAGCTCATCGCAGACCTCAGATATAACTCGTATATAAGTTCTTTTGATAAAGAACCCGTCAAAAATGATCGGGTCATTGTATCATTCCTGCAAGTCTTTGACTTTCTATGCTATACCATTTCTTCATAAGACCTGGAGCACTCAGAAATTGGTTCTTGTCATAGTCAAAAAAAATGAGTGATCACTTCAAAGTTGATGAAGTTTTCAAAGTAAATACAGAAAATCATTGTAAATCTTTTGTACAAGAATTTTTTTAAGTCATATATATGAAGATTAACAATTGTATTGCGATACAATTTTATTTTATTATTAATATAAGACAGTATAAATTACAGTAGACAACGCTATGGTCCACCTGATAAAAAAATCAAACAAAAAACAACAACAACAAAAAAAACAAACAAGCAAATTAGTTATCTAAAAAATGCTACTGAAAATAACGTAAAAGAGAAACAATAGAATATTTACGGAAATGATTGAATAAAATGACTGACGAATGTTATATAATGCCAAGATGTCTGTATTAGAATGTATGGGAGCTGCTAATAAATAAATAAATAAGTGAAACGACAGCAAGGCTTCAACGGCAGCAGCAGGAAATAATGTGAATACTTGGTGAATGCAGTCAAACGTGACAAGCAGTATCAGTCTCATCAGCTGGCAGACTGGATTTAAGCCCTGAGTTGTGAACTCATAATTATCCCACGGGTCATTAGACTAGCTAGGTTGGTGGATTTTGTAAAATAATAACTATGAGTTCAATCTCTTGTCTCGGCAGATATATTTGGACGTTGTCATCTGAAGAACACTGTACACTTGTAGATTAAGTAAAGTGTCCAGATATAAATTCCTTAAAGTAGGCCGGCGGCCGCCAATAGCAGTTATAATAGTAACTGTTTCCATGAAAGGAAAATTTTTGGCTTTAATTGACCGAGCAGCCAGTGCTGTTTTCTGCTGAAATTTATAAAACACTTCTTTAGGAAAACATATTCCTCTATTTGAGTAGTTGTCATCGCTCTTTCCAGTAATGATGGGGGTTTTCATCCGAACCTTTTGTTTGAATTAAAATGGAATGTCAACATCTCGATTATGTCATAATTTTCTATTCAAGTTTTATATGTTATACATTTTAGTTGTTGCTGCTGTTAGTAGTCCACAAGTAATGTGGCTTCTGTTATTTGCTACAGGTCTTTGTGATTTTGTAGCGCCAGTTCACAATGTTCAAAGAAGAATGACAGTTGAAGCGTTGTAAGAATAACAACAAATAAAATGATGTGAATAACAATATAGTAATTTTTCCGGTCCTTGTAATATTACATAAATGAAATATGTTTCTCTGACCTATTTTCTTTTACGTTTTTTTTAGCAATAAAAATGATGCTTATTGATTTGCATTATAAGTCCTGATCTAAAAAATAGATATTATATCAATTTAAATAAGGATATGTATTAAAAGCTAAAACGTACATAAAATATTGCTAATATAAATATATCCTGAAAATCTGAGATAAGAATTATTTCCATAGTCAAATATGATATTGTGTGTATGATGAAATATATATACAGTTATTTTTATCAAAATTATCGACATCTTTGTTTTACTTACTATATACTTACAAAGGCTAGACAAGAGCACACAAAGGCGTATGTTTCTCCAGCATGCTCACACATACGCACAATCACACGTCTATACACACACGCGCGCAATTACATATATATTGGTGTGTGTGCGAGCGCGCGCGCGCGTACGTGTAATGTGTGTGTGTGTGTGTGTGTGTGTGTGTGTGTGTGTGTGTGTGTGTGTGTGTGTAATATTTGCAAATACAATACTGTCCCATAAGTCCTAGAATTTGTCATTGCTTATGAAGCCAAAACGAAAACAAGAAGAGTGGAAACGTCATATTTTTTCTTGGGTAAATGGTGCTGATAGAGTCTGCGAATAAAACAAAGCAATGCACGCACGCTTTTGCCTCATTGGCTAAACCAAGGGAGTTGTGGCTCTGTGGTTCTGAAGAGAAGCCAACCCTTTGACATCTTCTGTTTGCAAATTGAATATGGCAGATTATGCTTCATCGAATTTATTTCGCTGTCTGGAATTGTTTGCCTAGAGTCCAGTGGTCAAAATATTGCGCAAAAAAAATGAAGCTAGGATAGTTGAAAATACGCTTCCCTAGAATATAAAAAAAAATATTAAAATATTTTCTTTTTCTGTTTCTGTGAAACTCTTTTAGTTTCTTTACTTATTTTTAATCTGCTTTTATTTGTCTCCATTACTCAACGCCTTTGTCGTCTTTTTTTCTTTCTTTTTTATTTATTGTTAGATTCATATTTTTATGTTATCTCTACCGCTCTCTTTCGCTATATTTGTACGAGAATATGCAAATGTTTTAACATTTTACTTTGTAATTTGCCACAATTCTAGATATAAATATAGTCTCCCGATAGATATATTCATATATATGAATATATATACGTACATCTGTGTTCAACGGATAGTATGTATTTATTTGTTAACTTACATAGAATTTCATTTGATCTTTCTCATATATACCTTTGTTCCTCATTTTATTATGTAGTTTCGCACACTTTGCAAATTTTATTCTGGATTCGATGGTTCTAAAAGAGTGAGACATTTGTCAAGGATAATCACACATTTGCAGGTTATTCAGAACAGGACAATATTTTTACATTACGGATTTTCTTTGGTGGGTGGTGGAAATGATAATTACTTATTGATACAAACCATACTAATTAACCCATAGGTTGGGGGATAAGAAGTGGATTCTTTCCTAAATGTATCTGGAATTGGAACTGTCCAATTAACAATACTTAGACATTATCCATTACACAACCGCATATCCCAGCATACAGCTCCTGGTATTCCAAAGTCGTCACCTATATAGGTACAAATCAGGCTCGACTTTGCTTAACTTCGGTGATCGTTCGGGAACCAATGTTTCAACGTGATGTGGTCACAAGCTCACTGCTTCTTTGATACAATATTAGAATCAGGTGTATATTACAAGCACTCCCGTCCATATTTGCTAGGCACATTTACAAAAGAATCAGTGTTCTACTTATACCTTACTAAATATTATGACCTCACTGTAGCAATTGGTGAAGTAATTACTGTATATAAAACGAAATTTAGCAGTACAGTTTAACAGGAGGACGGTACCCGGAAAAAAACACAGCAGATATCAAAGGAATACTAATACTACTACTAGTAGTAGTAGTAGTACTACTACTACTAATAATAATAATGATGCCGTCAGCTATATCTGTTAGTAAATAGAAAAATTTATAAATATAGTGATCTTGAAAACTAGTATTGAATAAAACCTCGCTTATTTAAACTACTGTCAAAATTTGTATGTGATAATGTACTAATTCTAGGAGTCCGAAGTATGTTTAATGTTCAGATATTGTCAAGATCCATATTAACTATTTTTAAGAGTATATAATAACTGTACTGGGTGGAATTGCTAGTGTACTCGGGTATGTATTACAAATGTAAACATAATATAAACACTGTATATGTTAAAAGCCACTTAACCTTAGAATTAAAAAAAAAGCAGAAAGCGTATTTCCACTACAAAGCTTTATCCTCAATTTCGCTTCATTCTCCTTTAAGAGGTTTTAGCCAACATTAAGCAGTGGAACTGTATCTTTAAGAACAATGTTTGAATAAATAATCTTATTATGGATTTAGTTTAGGTAGTAATGACCGTCCCCTATAAAATCATAAACTCTAATGAGCTTTGAAGATCAAATAACTCATAAAAAGCATGAACTTCTCTGTGTAAGACAGAACAACACTTTCAATTCGCTTTTTGGAAAAATATTCGGTCTTATATTCTGTCAAATACTAATTAATTTTAGCAATGAATTAAGATCTCAGGTTGTTGCAAACTTGTGAGTAGTCTATTCGATACAGAAACAAGATTCAGCTTTCATTGTTTGACCTGTCCTCATATGGGTTGAAATTTCTAAAATACTTTCGTTAAATCGTTTTTTACGGAAATTAGATTTTCTAATCCATTACCTGTTATGGCTATTTCTAATTCTCATGGGTGGTGTTTCCTTCCGTACATATATATATATATATATATATATATATATATATATATATATATATATATTGTAATAGGAAAAAGTAACGACATCACTATATATTTTTTTTCTTTTTTATTTAGATGTGTAAACGAATTTTGCTGTTGTTAATGTACAAAGCGTTCAACTGGTTATTTTGTTATTTCGAATTGTTCCTGATTTGTGATTGTACAGATCCAGACTATGACGTCTAATGACGAAGAAGGAAATTACTGAAAGTAATTGAATCTCACCTGAAGTGAGCTGAATGTGTAACGCTCCTCATGCCAATGACACTTCCACCGAGCTTCTCTACGGCATATGACTTCACTGAATTTTGATGTATTCCTCTCGAATTTATATTTAAACGTTATTTATATCTTTGAGGATATTATTAATCGTTGTTCTGATACAAAGTTTGCATAGAGACGATTGTATTAATTTCTGAACCGGCTGGATGCTATACATGATATCCACCTGAATTCTTAGCCATTAATGAGTCTATTCAACTGAACTCAGGAAAACGCTTCTTACACAGTTTCCATATCTCATATACATGTCACCTGTGATCAAAACGTTCTTATCTGCAATTACCGTTAATTTTGAGTTAGGGCCCATGACATGTACTCTTTGCACCGCCCCATGGAGCTACTTAAGTTCAGTAAAATGTTTTCAACGAATACCGAGAAAATTATTTAAAGTATATCTGCCAATTCACGAAATAGTTATGGCTAAACTAACATTGAAGTCAAATCTCTCAAAACTACAAATATGCAGATATTTTTTTTTAATTTTAAGTGATGATATGTCATAAAGTTCTCAGACAACGAGGTATTTAGCATTTAGAAATTATGAATTCTGCATCCTGAACGTTATGATTGATTCAGCGTAGGTGACATATTGAAATGGTCTAGGTGTATTTCATCATATTTGTGATTATACATTCGGAAGAATAACATAGGAAAAGATAAAAGATATTGGGTCTCTCATTTATTCACTCTACGCATGAGGAATTTTGAAATGAACCGGTCTATTGTTATCCAACATACAATTTAATTTTGTTATATGACTGCTTTTTGGAAAGCATCTTTCGCTTTGGGGCTGTTCTTTCTTCTAGCAATCATGTATCTCAATTTCTTGCAATTGATGTTCTGTTCTTTATTCCCACTTTCTTTCGCTACCTTCTGTAGGGGGTCATGTAGTTTCCTTTCTGTATTTTCTATCAAGAATCCATATCTTACGTTATATTAGAATAACTATTCTCAGTTCACGTGTGTGTGTGTGTTTTTTCTTTTTTTTTTTTTTTTTTTTTTGGAAAAGTGTAACTTAATTCCTTCTCTGGAGAACTCTTGTGATAAACTGATTTTTTAAGATTATTCTCATGCCAAACACCTTTGTCCTCAACAAGAAAACCCTAAACGCCGTTACGGCTTACCCTCGAATGGAAACAAGATCATTGTTTATATTAGTAGTGATATTCCAAGTGTAGCTTAGATGTGGTACAAGGCCGAAAGTAGGGGCACCCAGTGAGTGTCGAACTCACTACTCCGTCGTAACGGTTCTATCGAAACAATCTTGGTAACCATTACACCACCTCAAGGTGTCCCTTTGTTTATATTAGTAGATATGTTTATGGTGTGGTGCGGTATATTGGAATGACCTAGGCCCATTTCATCCCATTTCCTTCTTATACATTCGGAAAGCGTAGCATAAGAAACGATTAAGTAAATGGGCTTCACATTTCCCCCTTGTACGCCTGGCGTGTTTTGAAATGAGCCGGCCTTTTCGTATCCAACAGACATGACTTTGTTAATCAATGCCGTTCCTCTAGCTGACCCAGGTATTAAAGTGGAGTCAGAGCTACGATGATGGTTTTCTTATTGATGATAAAACGTCGACTGTATTCTTGTGATAATAATGTGCAGTGAGATCAACTTTACAGGTGTACAGCTTTCTATCTTATAATTATGATATTTCATGGAACTTCTGGATGATATATACGCTGTCATTTTCCCTCTTACCAAAACGAAATTGAGTTGTCAGAAGTCGATAGTCTATGAACAATGAAAGTGTTGTTATTAATATATTTATCAATACTTCAACAATGGAAGCAATTCGGATACATCTATTCACGTGATGATTTTCAGGAATATACATTTGTTCCCAAACCGTAATTATCCGTTAAGTCTCATTAGATAGAGTTTTCTTTTGATTCATCATAAAATTAAGACATTACAGTTTGAATTCATCATTCAATTAAACTACTTTGAAAAATTATGTCTATTTCTCGTTACTAGGATCATTCCCGTTTAATAATATGAGAAATATTTCCTTGCGTTCAAATATACTGTGGTGTGCATTCTACTTTTTTCTGTTTAGCTTCACATTAGGATTTAAGTGTAGCTGAATGTATTATTTGAGAGCTGGGCATTTCTTATATATTGCCAATGATTCTCTGATATTTTATCTTTATTCCATTGCATAATCAGTGCTTTCATGCAGTAATTTACAATGTATTCAAATCAGAGAGTCTTCAAGAACGGATTGTTAAAAAATATGAAAATTGAGACCTAGGACCAAAACATTAAACTAAGAATACGAGTCATATTCTTAAACCCACTCGTCTGATCTAGAATTTCATATGGATGCAATCTCAACTGTCGACTCTTTAAATATATATATGCAGAAATATAGTTTTAAGGCGTGATATTTTTGTGGGATAAAGTGCTCTATATCAGAGATAGAGCGTATGTAAATATAAAAATAAAAGTGAACATTGAAGTCAACACTCAGAGGCGACAGGCTCTTTCATGCTAGACGCAGACGTCAGGCCGCGAGTGTTGGATTTGTCTTGACTATTTATATATATGCGTCAGTGGTGCAGTGTGGGTAATCCATTCTGGCAGTTATTTTGGCGGGAGTGTCTTGATATTATGTTCTGTTGTTTCGGGTTCTTTTTTGTATGTACAAAGAAGCACAAGAAACAACAGAACAAGATATCAATAAGGAAGCTAAAGCAATCGCCCAACATTTAGTCGTAGACGACCGTAGAAGTTGCATCAGTAAGGTGCAAGCCTTTATCACATTAAAAGAGCGCAATGAAAATTTCAAAACCAAACCTGCACGCAGTCTCATAAACCCAACTAAAATTGAACTAAGTAAAATAAGTAAAACGATAATAGAAAGAATTAATTCTGAACTAAGGAAGAAGTTACTAATAAATCAGTGGAAAAAAACAAGTATTGACTGGTACCACAACATAAATACCAAACATAATTGCCAGTTTATACAATTAGACATAAAAGAATTTTACCCATCCATAACAGAAGCCATGCTAGATAAGTCCATCACATTAGCCCAGAAACAAATAAAAATAAACACAAACAAAATCGATATCATTAAACACTCCCATAAATCCCTCCTATTCCACAACGATGACTCATGGATGAAGAAAGAAGGGACCTTTGACACTACAATGGGAAGCATTGACGGTGCGTTTTAATGCGAAATAATAGGTATATACATTTAAAACACGACCTATGCAAAATAACAGATAAAAAGGATACAATACACTAAAGTGATGACAGTATCATAATCTTAACAAACTATAACAAACAAAACACAGACAAAACTAGAAAAGCAATAATAAATATTTTCAAAAGTAACAGATTTGACAAAGACATAACAACTAACCTAAACGGAGTAGATTTTCTAGATGTTACCATCAACCTAAGAAAAGAAACATGTAAACCATACAGAAATCCCAATGATAAACTACTGTACACGTCTTCCAATTACCCGCTTTCAATAATCAAACAGATACAAAAATCGATTAAACGCGGGCTTTCCGAAAATCCTTCCAATGAAACCATATTTAACAAAGCTA